CGAAAGCAATGTTTGAATTTAAAATTACCGGTCTCAGGAGATTTTTTTTTAGTCTTCTGTTTCTCTGTATGAGAAGCGTCCCCTTCTCCCTTTTGTCTAAGAAGTCTTTCATCAGCTCCTGGTTAAGAAGGAAGGTGAATGAAATCCAAAGGATCAACAATAACCCCGAATAACACAGATACTGGTAGCTTTTACGTCAGAAGCACCTCAAATTGAAAAAGCAAAACTCGAGAACAGAAAAAGAAACGTGGGCATAATGAGAATGGTGGGAATTGTTTTAGCATTACTTTCATATTTTTATCTCAGTGTACAATATTTAGAAAAAGGTGAGAAAGGCCCCCAAAAGAAAAAGAAACATCACCTGTAATTACTCCAGCCAGAGTAATTACTCCATCACCTGTAATTACTCCAGCCAGAGACCATCACGAGTAACCTTTGGAGAGCATCCCTCCCCTTTGAGGTGCCCCCGGGTGTTATGATGATTGACACTGGAAAGCCCACCCCTCCCCCAGCCAGATCCCACCCATGTTCCAGAGCCCGCGCGAGCACAGCAGGGGAGTCCGAGGGGCGACTGTAGTACCAGTGACAGGGACAGCAGGGAGCCACTCGGGAGGACGTGCGTGCGGTGCTGCACAGAGCCTGCCCCCTCCCCTGGCCCGCAGCCTCTCAGACCGCGAGACTCTAAGGAACAGCGGGAACTGAGTGGGCCTGAGACCAGGTGGGAGGCACAGGCCGGGGGCTTGAAAGTCAAGGCACCCGAGTTTGGGGGGCTACGGAGGAGAGAGTCGGGGTGTGATGAGTAGAGGGCCACGAGTCCCGGATCTGCGAGAGAGCAGACACCGTGGGAGGTCACAGCAGAGTGGCATTCCAGGGGTAATCGGTGTAGGCTGGATGCGACAGGAAGCCCGGGCTGCTCAGAGTAGGAGGCCCAGCGGAGGGCAGAGACGGGAGTCCCTGCGCCGCCCGCCCGCGCCCGGCCAGCCCGCGCACCTCCTCCAGGCACACGTCCTCGTTCCAGTTGCCGACCCGCACTCGTGGACCGTACAGTTTCTGCGCCATCGGCCCCCGCCGTCCTGCGAGCCGGCCTCGGACACCGCCTGCCTGCCTGAGCGTCCCCCGTCTCCATGACGACCTGGCCCCGGGCG